GAGAGGAAGAAGAGAGAGAGAAGTGAAAGTGATTAGGAAGGGAAAAGGAAGGATGAGAAGGAAACAGCTTGAAGGGATAATTTAGTGATGAAGAAGAAGGAAGAAGAAGAGGAAGGAGTGAAAGCAGATGGAAGTGAAGTTTGTCATTTTTAACTGATATTTTATATTTTTCTCTTTTTTCTCCTCCTCCATTCTTTCCTCAACTCTCTCCTTTCGTTCACCTCCTCCCTCCTTCTGTGTCCCACCTTCATTTACCTTTCTCTCCATCCCTCCCTCTCCTCCTCTCCTCCATCCATACTCTCCTCTTTCCTTCAGGCCCCACAGACCTCAGCATGAAGTCCCTCTCCTCCGCCAACATCACTAGCTCCTCCTCCTCCGCTGCCAACAGCCTGGCTGGGCGGGGCAGCGGGGGTGCTGGAGGGGGCGGGGCCTCCACCCAGCTCAGCCAACCGGAGATCACAGCCGTGCGTCAGCTAATCGCCGGCTACCGGGAGTCGGCCGCCTTCCTGCTGCGTTCGGCAGACGAGCTGGAGAACCTCATCCTGCAGCAGAACTGATTTATGGGAAGCACACACACACACACACACACACACACACACACACACACACACACACACACACGTTTGTTTTGTGTCTGCGTCGCTCCTCTTTGAAGCCGGACCCCAGACTTTGTCGAGTTTCCGCTCGTCCCTCCTGAAATCGTTTTCTCCTCAAACTTTTTTTTTTCACTTCTTGTTGTGAAGAAGAAGTGGGACGGGGGAGGGGGGAGGGGGGAGGGGCAACCGAAGATAAAACATCCACCAACAACCTCAATAAATCAATTCTGCCTGAGGAAGGGGATGTTTTGTTTTAAAGAAAACAGGAGACGAGCCGTTGGACTGAATCTCCTCCCGTCCTCTGTGGAAGCACCTCACAATCAGCTCCACACTCCGAGCGAAGGAGTGAGGAGGAGGAGGAGGAGGAGGAGGAGGAGGAGGAGGAGGAGGAGGAGTGAAGACGACTGCTGCTCACAAAGAACAGACTTTGATGAAGTTTTTCTGTGAAGCTCTGACCCAGTGGGGGGTTTGATTGACGGGTGCCCCGGCCGACTCCCTGAATTGGTTGTGAAGGAGTTTGACTCTTCATGTGACTGAACATTTCTTTTTTTTTCGTCCAGTGAGATTTTTATTTCTAGTTTTTCTTCACAAGTGACTGAAAGAAGCGTTTTGACTTTTCTTAAAAATCTAAACCCGGGAAAGACTCTGAGTCTGGGGCCTGAGGAGGGCGGAGGAGGGCGGAGGAGACGTGAGAGAAAAAAAAAGTTGTTTCTTTGGTTTTAAATGAAAAAAAGAAAAGAAGAAGGAGGAGAGTTTTTTTTTCTGTGCTCGCTTGTAAATAAGCTCTTTGTGTCCTATAGCACTTTCCCCTCAGCCTCTTTAATCCCTCCCCTTTTAACCAGGGAGCAACTTGCTACTTATGCATCCAAGACGCCATGTTGACCACCAGGAAATACCTCAGACCTGCCAATCACACGCACACGCACACACACACACACACACACACGCACACAATCACACACGCACGCACGCACACACACACACACAGCCAGTTTACTTCTTCACCACCTGATGTCTTCAGGGTTTGTATATTTTGTGGCAGGAGAATCAAACTATGTTGACGAAGCATTTCAAGAGCTGACGTGAAACTCGTTGTTCATCTGTGTTCGCTGCTGTAAATAATCAGCTCATCTTGAAAAACTCGAGAAGAAGCAGAGCGGACGTTTGACGAGGAGGAGACGAGACAGACTGAGGGCGTGTGTGTGTGTGTGTGTGTGTGTGTGTGTGTGTGTGTGTGTGTGGATATGAACGCAAACAAAACCTCAGCATCACTCTTCTTCTCCTCCTCCTCTTTCTCCTCCTCCTCCTCTTCATTGGACCTATTCTACACTTCTTCTTCGTGGACCTAAACATCCTCCTCTTCCTCCCTCCTCCCTGGTCCAGGTATCAGAGGAAGAGGAGGACTCCTCTGTCTTACTGTGTTTGTCTGTTCAACTCTGAGACGGCCATTACTGATAGAATTGTTATCATGATAATGATGAACTGTCATGTTGCTGCTGCTATACAAAGCCGGACCTTCTGCCATAGACCTCAAACCTCAACACAGACGGGCGTTCGCTCGCCGCCGGGCGACCGAACCCGACTGAACGACCTCCTGCGACTTCAGCTCGACCACAACAAAGCAAAAACAAGCGAAAGACTCGCAGGAGAACTTTGAACTTTCGTGTAAACTGATCTTCAGTGTCTCCGCGCTCTCAGACCGGTTGGATGATGTTTTTTGTTTTTGCTTCACAGGGCTCGATTAATGTTAATTAATGTTTTTGTGACTTTCTATCTGTGGATTCTCTTTGTTTCATCTCTTCCCATGTTTTCATCCTGCGGAGGCCGTACGGAGGGGCGTGTCAGTAAAGTCTTGCACATTCTCATCAGGCCGACAGGTCCACGCTCAAACACACGAGGCCGATGATTCTGTGTGGGAAGCAGAATAACTGCTTCCTGATGAAATATGTTTTGGTTCTGAAGTGAAGTGGTTAATGCTTCACTATTATTCAGCCATGTTGTTTTACACCACAAAGGTTTGTGTCATCTTGAAAATCGTATTAACTGGAAACAGGCCTCTGTTGATGAAGGTGCTGATGAGCATCACTTTACTGTCTGCACTGTTAGCTTAGCATAAAGCCTGGAAACAGAGGAAGCTGCTGACGTGACTTTGAAATCTGCAAAAAAAGGCCAAAGTGAAATATTTCTGCATGTATGTGACAAGACGTTGTTTGGCACCTGATGCAAAACCACAAGATACAGTAATTTAGCCAGGCTAGGCTAGGCTGGTGGTTTCCCTCTGTGTTTCCTCTTCATGCTAAGCTAAGCTTCATATTGACCGTACAGACCATAGACTGTAAATATAGATGGTTGACGCGACTAATTGAAACCAAAATGAAGACTTGAACCAACATCAGTGAGAGGAGAACGACAGGAACAATCTCTGATGAACATTTATTTAACATCTACTTTAGTTTTAGAAGTTTGGTTCATGTCCTCTCTGCTCACATGGAGGAGGTTTACAGTGCAGTCAGCCACCAGGGGGCGATCCAGATGTTTTAGCTCGACCTTTGGGAGCCGCATGTCGTCCATCTTTATTTACAGTCTCTGGTGCAGACGTTAGCATCGGTCTTCTCGTCTGACTGAACAAAATGATGAGCGGCCTGTTTCCTGAAATGTTGAATTATCCCTCGAAGGAGCTTTAACACTGGTGACGTTTAACTTTAATCATTTAATTATTCATATTATGATTCCTATTATTATATTTATTATTATTATTGCCACCTCCAGAGCTTAACCAGAGTTATTCATTGTTGGTATACGTTTTGATACATGTTGAAAATGAACAAAAAGACAAATGTGGCTTATTCCCTCCTGAGGCGTCGCTCTGTGCTTCTACTGTTTCTACTCGACTGTGGCGTCACTGTAACTTGCTCCTTTTGCACTGAAGCAACAGTCATCTGTGATGTGAAGGGGGGGGGGCTCTCTGTGTATGTATGCATGTTTCCCAGGAGGCACCACACCCTCCCCCAACTTGCACTGGTGAGGACGAGGTGTTGTGGTTTTTTATTTGTGTTTGTTTCGATGCAGCTGATAATCATTCACTGGTCTTTAGAGGTTTGTGTTGGCGACGGGCTGCACGGTGCTGCCCCCTCATGGTGAAATCTGTGTCATGCACGCTGGAGGATGAGCGCTGTGTGGCCTCGGAGAAGACGAAACACTCTAACGGGGGGGGGGGGGGGCGGCGCTCGCATCCATAAACACAACATTTACTTTTCCGCTTCACCACAAAAACGTAAATGGTTTGATTTGAGCATCATCAGATTTATATTCCGATCACTGAACGACACAGAGACAAATATGCAACAAAAGAAAAGACAGAAGAGAAACTGGAGAGAGGCATGATGGGACGGCAGAAGTCAGACATGTTGATTTGAGTTCTCGGCCTTTTGAAAGAAACTAATTTCATTGGATGTTGTGAGACTGTGAGGTTCAATCAGTTTTTATGCCTCTGAGTCGACGGCAGCTGAAGTTCGTGGAGTAAAGTAGTTTTTCGTGTTGTTTCTCGTGATATCTCAGGAAAGCTGCGAGGGAAGTTTTCAAATTTGGTTGAATGGTTGATTTGATTTAAGATTCAAACATTAAATACTTATTTTTTCCTTCCGAAGCCCGAACATGGACTCAACTGACCCAGCGTCCTCCTCTCCTCCCGTGTCACTGTGCTCTCAGATTACTCACGATGGTTTCATGTTCTCAGTCAAAGATTTTTCACTTTCCCCCTGGATGTTGAAACCTGCTGTGATTTATTTTTCCTCCTCTGTGTTATTTGACTCCTGGTTTGAAGCCGGTTATGTTTTGCGTTTGTGATGTGCACATGCAAATACTGTGAACAGTTTGTCTGACGTGAGGCTCAATGAGTCGTTCAATCAGAAGAGCAAAAAAGAATTGGAATCACTTTGGGTTCCTGGAGTTAAAGATGCTCTGCAGGTGAAGAGGCTCAGTTTGATTCTTGTTTCCTTCAGATCCTCACTCTGCTTCTGTTCTTTTCATTTTTAATTGAACAAGTCAAACACGGGTGAAGCTCTGAGACGCAGCGGACGCTGAATCACTGACCTGGTTTTGAATGAGGCTGAAATCACTGTAACATCTGTGGTTGAGCAGAGGATTCCGGATGTCTCGGATCGTCTCATTGGTTCGTCTGTGGTGACGTCAGTAAAGTTGATTTCACGTGTTTCTGAGCCCGCGTCCGTTAACTTCGAAGCCACACAGCTGCAGAACAACAACACGGAAAAAAACACCGACAACTGTAAAGAGTAGAAATAAAAAAGCAAATGACAATCTTTATAAAGGTGTAATTTGCTCACAGTTTGATTTCCCTGCGTCTGTAGTTTACAGTCGGACAGACCGGGAGAATAATCCGGGTGTTTCAGCCATAATCAGAGCGTTCCTACGCCCAAACTCCGCCTCCTCCTGTTCACGTCTCAACCTGCCGACACATTTCTATTTTTCAGTATTATATGATTATTGTTTTTATTAATGTTCTTCTTCATACTTTTATTTTATAGTGCGAGTCGTGGAATCTTTTTTTAAGAAGATGTTTTGTACAATCTTCTAAAAACCGTTAACGGCACATTCCAAACATGAACAAGTGAACAGACCACCGGCAGGGACCCGCCCAGCAGCAGAGGCGTGTTTCTTCAGCTCCGTCTGAACCAAGTGTTCAAATCATGTTTCATTCCCACAGACGGACTCAGCTTCAGTCCTTTGTTTTTAGAGGGTGGAGGACGATCTTTGAGGAAAGGTCCACGTGCTCCTGACGTCTGAGACACAGAGACGAGGCTGCGCTGTGGAAACCTGTTCCCACTGTGGGAAAGACATGAAACCTATTCCACTAAAAGACTAAAGCTCGAGCGGCTCTGATCCAAGAAGCTTCTTTAAACTCGTGTTTATTCAAATCTCCAGATTTCTTTTCATTTTAGATTCAAAGTTTTTCGACTGAGAATGACGTCCTTTAGAGGTTTCGTGTTTTTCTTTCGTTCATTCACCGGTTTAGTTTTATTTTCTGACCCTTCCTGGACTTTAATTTAAGAGGTAGATGAGAAGCTCGTCGAAGTTTTTCTACACATGAAGATCAACTCTTTGTGATCTTCAGTGTTAAACTCTGAACTCTGAACTCTGACGCTGCAGAGTCTTAAATTAGAAATGAATGAAATCGTCTCAGTGAAGCTGCTCGGGTTCCTGCACACGATCACACTCAAGACCGACCTCGTGAGTGAAGATCGACTCACACACACAAAGTTTTCGGGTTAAACTCGTTTTACTTCGATCACAGTTTGTACAGTTGACCCCTGAGCCGTGTTTTTTATTTCTCTTCTCGTGGGGCTTTAGACTCCGTCTGTTTTCTCTTCAGCTGACTTTGTACCAGACTCTTGATTGTCTTGGTTTCCTCCACCAGAGCTTTGTACCGACAGAAGAAGACCAGTTGTGTTCTCTCATGATTTGACTCAGTGAAGTGTGATGTTTACATGTACAGATTCTTTCTCCTTTAGTTTTTCTGATTTGCTCTAATCTCTCTCTCTCTCTCTGTTTTGACCTGACTCCTCCCTCACACACTGAAGGGAAACGGAGCTGCGTCTAATTGTCACCATTTCACATGGGGGGGGGGAGGGGGGCACGTTGACGTTTTGAATTTCAGCCGCTCACAGTTTTTTCATTTTTTAAATCCTGCCTCGTTTTAAAAACGCCTCGTTAGCATTTAGCGTTGAAATGCTCGTCCGGCTCGTTCCGTGCTGCGTGGGAAAAAGTCACAGCTGAAATTGAAAAGCGTGGCGCCCCCTGCAGGAAGCCAATCCTTTTTTGGGGGGGGTTGAGTTGTGTGTTAATTTGACTCTGGGGGTTTGGCGGGGGGGGCTGACCTTTGACCTCTCGGCTAACTCCACAGCACACGCAATCACGGCGGGGCCGCGGCGACCCTCCGCTGACCCGGTGGAGACGATTCCTCAGCGAATGATAAGCCATGATGGACCCTGTGTGGCGGGTCTCGTAGTCTATTAGTATATTTAGCAAAACTTTAAACCGCAGACGACAAAACTCAACCTCAGGAAAACGACTGGACATCGCTTTTGTAAATCCACTTTGAAGTGAAGGCCCATCTCCCTCTGTCTTTGATACCATAGGAGTGATATCGAGGATTCTTTTCATATTTATTGTGTTTTTTATTCTGTGTAACAGTGGATTCCTTTTCTCTACCTGTGGCTGATTCTTTTCATTCTTTAGAAACGTGTTGATGATACATGTGAAGCATCTTGAAACAACTGAGAGAAAAAAGACATTGAAAAACAAGTTTAGTCTTTTTTTTCCTGTTTGTTGAAAACGTCGGAGCGACGAGAACATATCACTCAAAAAACCAATGATTGGAAAACTGAGCTTTCTTTCGTGTGATGTCACTGCTGCGGCTGAAATGTTTCTGGACTTGAAAAAAAAAGTGACCATTTAGTTTTGTCTGTTTCTGTTTTTTCTCCCGAGCTGTACGTCACAAAGCTAAATATACTAATAAAACAGTGTGCTATCAAACTGACAGCTGGTTTCTTTTTCTGGAACTTCATCACTGTGCTGCCACTGACGAGCTCCGTGCACTGATGTTTGAAACCCTGTGAACTTACTAACTGAAGATTTATGTTAACTCTGCTCCTGATTTATAAGATTATTGTAAAAAGACCCAAAAGTTTCCAGATTCATCCATTAAATCATTAAATTCTGTGTTGACATGGTGAAAATATTAGAATATGAAATCTTTAGACATTTCTTTTGTGTAAAACATAATGATGATGACTCCCCACAATATTCTCTATCTTGTCGGGTCCTTGACCTCAAACAAGAAAACACATGAGAGAAGAATAAAAGAATAAAAGATTAAAAGATTAAAAGAATAAAAGAATAAAAGATTAAAAGAATAATGTTTCAATGAAGAGAAAAAGAAAACGATCGATCAGACTGAATGAGAGAGAAAGTGTTCCAGAGCCATGAAGAGGTATGGTCTCTCTACCCCCCCTCCCCCCCTCTCAGTACGCAGGTGCGGGTGTGTGCGTGCTGAGCTCCAGCGCCAAACCCAAACTTTTACGCACGGTGCCGCTGCTTCACCTTCCTCTCGCTCCTCGGTGGATTTTGCACCTGATCACAACCGGCTTCCGTGATTCCGGTGGATTACCGGTGGATTCCTCGCGGAGCCATGCGCTCACTCTGCGGGTTCATGTTGGGTCGCGGCCGCCGAGTCCTCGCAGGGAACCGATGCGACTTGGATTGCCTCCATTCCCGTTTCCGCATTCCCGCAGCCGCCGTGCGCACTGCAGACGCGGAGCTGCGACCCACGATCTCGACAGAACAAACCGGTTCCTCCGGATCCTCCACCTCCGAGCTGCTGGCGCTGCGTAATGTTTGCAGCTAGAGAGCGAGGGGGACCTGGAGGAGCGAGCGGCCGGAGCTTGCAGGCGCGGAGAGGCCGCTGTGTGTGGACTGATCGAGGCTGAACACACCTTCATGTCCCGGGATGGAGAGCTGCTGCCGCTCGTGTATGCCGTGTTTCAACCGGCTCTGGAACTGGATCTGGCCCGACTTCCGCTACCCGAACGTCCCCAACCACAACCATGTCATCGCCAACCCGGCGGCGCAGGCGGCGGAGATCCGCACCGTGTCCGGCGACATCCGCGTCCCGTCCCCCAAGAAGCGGCCGGTGCAGCTGTACGCGGCGCTGTTCGACTTCGTGGCCCGAAGCGACGACGAGCTGACGGTGAAGGAGGGAGACAAACTGTCGGTGATCGAGAAGCGAGGCGACTACGTGCTGGCGAAGAAAGTGACCGGGTCCCTGGAGTCCGGACTGATCCCGGCCAACTACCTGGCTCTGCTGCAGGACGAGTTCGCCAAACACAAGTGAGTCTGACCCCACTGATCCGGATCAAACTGAACCTGGTCTGTGTCTGAACTGATCC